AATTTTCGTGACCGCTCCCTTCAAAGGCGCGGGTCTCTACCATGATGTGCAATATCGCTCAAAAATGGAACAAGAGATTTGAAGAGGATTGCCAGCGAGGAAAAAAGCAAAAGTAGTCGTAGGAATCATCAAAATTAAGAGCCTGGTTTCTTGTGTGATCGGCACGACAAAGAGAGAGCATATGGGAGAAAACACGTCGTACGAGACGGCGCAGACACCGCGTTCGTTGCGAGCATGTAAAAATAGCAGTGGTAACAGCTATCAAGGCAGGACAGACGCCAACAATGAGTCCTGCTAGGTCACCGAGGTCAAATCTTTCGCTGCCAATTGCGCGTCAGTCCGCACCCTCAGGAGGTCCGTCGGGTCTTTCAACTAGGTGGTACTCCTTCTTCGACCTTCATTCTTATCGTAAATTCCTCCTTCAAGAGGTCGCTAAGGACAAGAAACGGAAGCTGTTGGAATAAAACTAGGAAAAATCGCATGGCTTCATTTACTTTCCTTTATTTAATCGAGCGCTTCTAACTAAACCTCACTGTCTTTTTCCGCAGTGCCTGTCGCTTTTTTCGAACAGGGAGTTCTACTCCATACTCCACACCAAGCGTCACCCAGCCATTGATATGGTACCGATATTGAATGGCAGCATCCGCGCCTGAGTAGAATTTTTATCAGAAGATGATCCGTTCTGAACATACCTAGTACGCCTCCGGGAATGAACATACCTCTGCGTCTTCTGAAGGAATTAAGCATGGAAAGTTGTTAGCCTTCCCCGTATGGATGCGCCATATGTGGACAATATTTGGAACACATTTTGTACGTACACAGGGAACCTGGAGCGAGGAGAGTACTGTAAGGTTTTCCCTTAAAGAACTTTGATTTTCGGAATGCATTGGAAATGCCCACATTGAAAACGAAAGTCAGAGATATATTGAGAGAAGGGGACTACTGAGATGGGACACACGCAATGGGACGAAAGAGTTGAGTCGCGTTTAGCTGTTCACTCATTACGAAGTTGGTGTGGTACGCCCACAGCGACATAGAAGAGAAAGTGTTAGCGTTGAAGAGGACACGATGAAAGTCACCAGAGCGTAAATCACGGGCAAGGAAAGGATCCCGTTTCTCGGGTTACGGGCCGTTTCTCATGGTTTTTCGGAAATAGGTTGCTTTTCAGCGTGAGATTCGGCCTTGAAAAGTAGGTATGTACGCACTCGAAATTGATCTGGCACGCACAGTGCCATACTTCTTCTCTCACTTACTGAGCGATGAGCGCCCAGTTAAAATTCTCCCCGCGGCATAGATAAGAGCTGATATGCAATAAAGCGGGAAATATAAATAATGATAGGTGTCTCATAAATAGTGTCGCTTTTTTTCAACCAGAAAATTTTGATCTAAATCCCCATGCTTTTACAGAGAGTTATATACCATTCAAAAGAGAATTGTCTGCTCTACAAAATATCGTGTTCTTCTTCCATCTATGTTCAATGGTTTTCAAATTTGAGGCATGCGAAATGGGAGGTCCCGCCGACAAAAATTGACCAAACCGACAACTAGCTCTAACTTTATGTTCCCTTCGGAGAAATCAATCAATGATGTACCCTCTACTTATGCATGACCTCTTCTAAACATTACACTATTAGGTTTCCCAACAAGTCGCATCATTCCATTTCCAGACCCGGTTTTTCAACCAGAACTCGACGGTTGAGCACCATTACCTGAGATCGAGGTCGAAATTTTTTTACAGCCGAGACATTGAAAAACTAGTAGAATTTCAAGAACAAGTCGTGACTAAGTTAGGAATGTACGCCTGGTTGGTTTCTTCATCTCCTCAAGGATAATTTCTTTCAAAGAAATGTGGTCACTTTGAGTGAAAGACCTATAAAACTCCTAACCCATAAATAAATTCGAAGAATAAATTTCTTAACCAAAAACATCAAAAACAAAAACGAATGAAGTGCGAAAA